TTTTTTTTTAAAAAAGCAGAACAATGTAACAGTCCTGATATGACATGAAGGAAGTTTTCTTAGCCTGTGGCTCAACTTTGAGGAGGACCTCAGTGTCACAAAGATAGAATTATCAAGGAGGGAGTGTGTCCTCCTGGGCTCAGCTGTCTGTGTGGGAAAGGTCCTTAGCAGCAGGGAATGGGAGGACACTTGGAGACTCCAGGGACTTTGGCCTCCACGTGGAGAAAGGAACAAAGCTCTATTCCAAAGTCGACGGAGAAGCAGGGCCTTCTCCTAGAGCTGCTGCCCTGACTTTGAGTTGCCAGCCTTCCAACCACGAGGACGGAGCTGCTGTGGCTTTAGTGGGGTGGAGCTGTGCCAACACAAGGGCAGGCGCTTTGGATTCCCCAGCTGTTCTGCAGGAGAAAGATTGACACTCTCCTCCTGTGTGATTTCTTAAAAAACCCACTGGAGGGTCAGCTGGGAGTCAGTTCCCACTCGAGAGCACATAGCAAGAATAATAGGCTGTAAGAGTGTCTTCTTGACTCAGTTCTTTCAATTACTTGCTATGCATCTGATAGTTGGTCAGTGAAGAAGGATTTCAGAAGCAGCATCAGTGCCTTTGAGTTGTGATGTTGGAGAAGAGTAGTGAATAGCCCACAGGCTGACAAGGCAAAGATAGTGAAACTCCACCTCACGTTGTTGTTATGTGCAATCGAGTACCTGTGACTCATAGCGACCCTATGTACAATAGCCCTAAACCCTGCTCTATCCTGTGTGGATCTCACATCTGACAAACCTTACCTGCATTACCTCAGTCACTGAATAAATCCATTTCATCAAGAGTCTTCCTCAATTACGCTGTCCTTCCATTCTCCCAAGCCTGACGTCCCTCCCTCTCTCCAATGACTGGTCCCTTGCAACGTTCCCAAAGTGTATCAGATAGATCTTCAGAATACTTGCCTCCAAGGAGGAGCCTGGTCCCACACTCTCCAGGATGAACCTGTTTGTTCTAGTGCTCCATGGTATATACAGTACTGTTCTCCAGCACCATAGCTCTAAGTTGTCAATTCTTTTATCATTCTTAGTTATTGTCCAGCTTTCTGATGCATAGGAATTAATTGCAAAGACTATGGCCTGGTTCAGGCACACCTTAGTCTCCAGACTTAAATTGTTGCTCTTCAGTACCCTGGAGAGCTCCTTGATGGCAGACTTTCCCAGTGCTATTAATCTTTTAATTTCCCTGGCTGCTGGTGCCAAGAATGTTGTTTGTGGAGCCAAGCAAACTGAAGCTGTTAACAATCTCGACCTCTTCACCATCTATCATGATGCTGTTAATCGGCCCAGTGGTGAGAATCTTTGTTTTCTTGGTATTGAGCTTCAAATTCATATTGAAGGCTGCAGTAAGCATTTCATGTCCTCCTCGGTTTCGACAATCAGGGTTGTGTCATCTACATAATGCAGATTGTTGATGAGTCTTCCTCCAATTATGATGCCACATTTCTTATACAGCCCAGACTCCTGGATAATATATTTTGCATATAGATTGAAATATTTGGAAAAGGACACATCCATGGCCTACACAATTCCCAATTTTGAACCATGTCGTGTTTCCTTGCTCTTTCCATTACAAAAAATGATGATCTGACACAGTGAGGAAATTATTGAACAATATCATTAATACCATATGAAAGCAAGATTCTGCTGAAAATTATTCAAAATTACTGGAACAGCAAATCAACAGAAATTTGCTAGTTGTGCAGGTTGGATTTAGAAGAGGCCATCGTACTAGGGATCTTATAGTTAATGTCAGAGGGATCTTGGCTGAAAGTAGGGAGTATTAGAGGAAACTCTATCTGTGTTTCATTGATATGCAAAGGCATTTGACTGTGTGGATCACAACAAACTGTGGCTGACTCTGAGAACAGAAATCACAGACACTTGATCATGCTTGTGTAAAACCTATACTTGGGGCAGGAAGGCGCCGTGGCTGATGACAGGAAGGCGTGGCTGACAGCCCTGCCTGCGCTGCTCCCACAGTTATTTTGTGGGTGGGAGGATAACTGCCGTCTAGCTTGACCACGCGGGATTCATTAACTCGGGAAGGAGCAACCGGCCCCAGGAGGAGCGACTGGCCCCAGCCGCACTGCCTGCTGGCCCGTTGCATGACTCTGGAGGAGCAATGGTCTGCCACCGTGTGACCCTCCTGTGGCCTGCCACTGCTTGACACCTCCACGCAGCATGCTGCCACCTAAGTCCCCTGCAGTGCCTAAGCCCAGTCCCCTTCCTCCCCGTGGTGGTGGCCCAGCCCCGAGTCCCCCTCTTCCCAGAGCCCTGTGTCCCTGCCTCAGCCCTGTGTTTCCACCTCCTCCTCATCCCCCACCTGTGGCGGTGCCACAACCACATACCTCCACCCCCGCCACAGCCCTGTGACCCCAGTGGTGCCCCAGGGCTGCTAGAAAGTCCTTCATGCCACACAGAGACCAATCAACACTGTGAGCTGTGGTCAATAGAATTTCAAACCAGAACTCTTTTTGGAGAATTCCTTTCAGAGCTATAGAAACACAAAGCCACACTGTGGATCCAGCCATTACCCAAAGCCACCAGCCACGCTGCTGTGGGACTGATCTGGTAGGAGAAAGTCCGGTAGGATGCTAACTGGGTTTTCTGGGGCACTGCTGATTACCTGGGAGAGCACCCAAGGGTGAG